TAAAGGAAAATCTATCACATTTCTTTTTCATCATGTGGATGGCCGGGTGCGTGTGTGTCACTTACCTGGGGAAGAGATGGCACCAGGATGCACTATGGGAAGAAGACAAGCCGGGGGAGGCAGTGTGATGCTGGGAAACCTCGGGTCCCGCCATGCATGTGGATGATACCGGGACTGGTACCACCGACCTAAACATTGTTACTGACCAAGTACACCCCTTAATGGAGACGGTATTCCCTGATGGCAGTGGCCTTTTCAGCAGGATAATGCGCCCGGCCACACTGCAACAATGGTTCAGGAATGGTTTGAGGAACACAACAATGAGTTTGAGGTAATGACTTGGTCTCCAAATTCTCCAGATCCTAATCCAAACGATCATCTGTGGGATGTGCTGGAAGTCCGATCCATGGAGGCCGATCACCTCACAACTTACAGGATTAAAAGGATCTGCTACGGACGGCTTGGTGCCAGATACCACAGCACACCTTCAGAGGTCTAGTGGAGTCCATGCCTTGATGGGTCAGGAAAAGGGGGACCTACTCAATATTAGTTGGGTGGTCATAATGTTATGGCTGATCAGCGTATAAGAAGCAAGTGGTCGACAGACTACCAGGATCACGTGTGTGGAATCGTCCTGAGTACTTTTAATCTACATACAAAAGGCGCAAACACCCATAAACAAGAATAAAAAAAAAAAAAATCAAGCAACTTACCATCCAATATAACACTGACAGAGGTTCTCGTGCGACGTGGCTTGTTTAATCAGCAGCTCCACTTGTGTGGCCACATCCAAAGTTTCTTCATGTAAAAAGTCTCGACCTGAAAAAAATAATTAAAGATAACTTGTATCACAGAGTAGAAAAATGCCTCAGTGCACCCAACTAAGGCAAACGGGAAGACATAACATGCCTAGTGCCATAATGTGCAGACCAAGCCGTCCAGAGGATGGAATAAACTATCAATGCCCTTTATGGGCAGCCAAGCAACAGTGCAGCATTGGTCCTGTGGTCAGAGTAAGTTCCTAGTTGCTGGTGAAAAGAACTAAAGCCAAATCTTTTCTTTGGCTTCAGTCCACTTCTGGGTAAAAGAAGTCTACACTGAGTGGCCAGATTATTATGACCACCCCATCAGTACTTCGTTGGGCCGCCTCGTGACTCCACGAGATGATGAAAGGTAATGCGAGGAATCTGACACGGCACTGTTGCCCTTCTGTTGTCTTGTACCAGTCTTGCCACTCTCCGTTCTGCCCTAACATTGACTAGTCGCTGACGGCCACAATTCGCACGTTCAGACCCAGATTTTCGGCTGGCAGTCCGGTCTTTAAACACTTTAACAACAGCTGCTCTTGAACATTTAACGAATTCTGCTGTTTTGCTGATACTCGCTCCATGGCTCCGAGCGCCAACAATCAACAATTTCCCCGTATCTTCAGAAACAAATCACTTCTACTGTCGTGGTAACCAACCCGCTTCCCTATTTATAATGGTTTGGCCCTCTAGCAACTTCAGCGCCAAATTATAGCTAATTTGCCTACAAAAGTCAGGCGGTCATAATAATCTGGCTACTCAGTGTATTTACTAATGTATTCCTGTGACCCAAAGTCAGCAATAACAGCTGGCGCTGCCTCTCTAGAACCAGCTGTGCCCGTCCCTCCAATGAGCACTGAAGTAACAGAGAGGAGAGTGGAATCCCTGTGGGGAGCGGAGAATGACAGTCACCGCTCTCAGAAAGGGGAAACCATGAGCTGTGCTTTTTGATCGCTCAGCTCTTGATCCATAGAGCCGGCATATGCCACCTGCAGTGTCCCACGCCGGCTCTAAGTACTGAGAAAAATTACATTTGACTTTCCAACACTTCTCCTTTAAATTGCCCCGCGTTACCTGTTAGCTTATCTCGGACCCTGTTAATAATCTGAATGGCTTTTTTATTCAGAGCTTCTGGCTGAACCAAGCCGTCGCCAACTGCAAGGAAAAGAAAAATATTATTGGATTAGTAAGTGTAATGAATACAATCCACTTCACATAGTTTTAAAAACTAGCTGGCTTCAGATATCTGGGAACAATGGACCTGCATGCACAATCTGACTGTCTCATGATGTCTTTTCACCCAGCTTCAGCGTTATCTTTAAATCATAGAACAAATGTCCATATAGTATGTGAATCTCTGCAGCACAAAAAAGCGACAGTATCAGCAGATGTTTTTTTTCCGGTAGCTGCCACCCTGATAACATAAAAATTACTTAATTCTTGAAGATCTACCTAAGTGCATTGGGAACCCCTTTGACATACTAAGACCCTATAGCAGCCATCATCAACCTTTTCACCACTGTGTAACCCTTGAAACAACATACGGGTCTCAGGGTACCCCTTCTAAAAATGATTACACCCACAGATATAGGTACATTAGCACGATCAGTAAGTTGTAGATATAGGAATGTAGAATACAGGAATGGGTAATTATTATTATTACATAGTATTTATAGAGCGCCAACAGTTTGCGCAGCGCTTTACAATGTAAGGAAGACATTACAATTACAATACAATTCAAGACAGGATGGTAAGGGGGGCCCTGCCCCTGAGGGCTTACAATCTGAAAGAGGAGGGGGAAATGATACATGAGGAGGTAGCTGTGTGGGGATGAATTCTTTGAGAATGTGATGGGTGTATATATATATATATATATACATATACTTCTCGATCTATCTCTGCAGAGAGCCGTGACTGTCACTCACAGCTCCCACAGCACACAAAAAGATCCCCGGCGCACCTGCCAGCTAGCCTGCAACAAGATGCTGAGACGCCATCACTGGAAGTAGGTTAAAAGAAGTAGAAAACTAATATAAAAGCAATCAAGGAATTCCAAAATGGTTCCCACACATTCCCTGTAAAGTGTATACACCTCCTATAGAAACTCACTGTATGTATGTATAGACTCGGGAGCGGTGCTCCCTGGCTTCTTATGTGCCGTCTCCCCAAGTTCCACCGTCTCCAGCATTTCTGAGAAAAACACAAAGAGAGAACAGTTATATACAACAAACCCAAATTCTGCTGGCCTGCAATGTTCAACACTATAACATAAATATCACAGAGCTGAAAGGGCACAAGCAACAACCAGTGTCTGGTTCCAGTGCACCTCTTCATTCATCAGCGGCAATGAGCCAACTGCGGCAATACTGCTGGAATGACGGCCTCTCAGTCTGGTCAGTACAAAAAAACAAATGAACCAAAGGAATATGAAGGTGACTGTTGTAGGCACAGCAGGCGGTTTGATGGTTTGTTCAGACAGCCCCGGACGCAGTCGCCTTTAGCCCTCATTCACACCGGAATCGGCCGGCACAGCTCGGTGCCGCGTGCACGGCCATAACGGGCAGCTCCCGGGAAGCACAGGTGCTGCGTGTGATTAGTACGCAGCCCCCGTCCTTCTTTATGGGACTACACGGCCGTACGCCCCCCTCAATTACAGGTCAAAAGGGGTGCGCGTTTCCTGGCTGGGACGCAGACGGGATCCACCCTGTCAGCATACGAGTACGCCCACCCGCACCTGTACGGACCTGCAGTCCCATAGAGAAGGACGGGGGCTGCGTACTAAATCACACACAGCACCTGTCCTTCCCGACAGCAGTATAACCCAACAGTCACTGAATTCCGGTGTCCTCCAATAACGGAGAAAGGAATTCTATCGTGACATTTATTAACCACTATGAGTTTTGTAACTTAGTATTTTAGGATTTTTTTCCTTGATGGGACACTTTAAAATCAACATCTAAACAATTAAAAGTAAAAACAAAAAAAAATTTATTGGGAACGTTTCCTGACCTATTGCATATTTCTTCCAAACTATTTTTACTAACAAAAGTATCATCTTAATCCCCCATCTGTCTTCGATTCTGAGAAGTAAGTCTCCGCGTTATGTAACCCTTTAATACATACCATGTGTGTTTAAAAATAAAAGCGGATCTCTTGGCGGATCGTGTTTATTGGGGGAATTCTTAATTTTACAATATGGAAACGCAATCATTAGTTCTTATTTTACGGGGCTTTAGCTTGGCCTTGTGAGCCGCACAGTATGTGGAGATTCGGCGTCGGCAAATCAAGTTACAGCGTGAGGTGGTTGGAGGAGAATCTGGACTGTGTCAGTGTGAACACCATGCTGGAAAAACGGGACTTCTTTATAGATGAATCCGTCAAAATGATAACTAGATATGTGCAGGCCGTAGTGAGAATACAATGTCATTTGAAGAGCAGCCAGCGGCTTTTTTAACGTCCTCTATCCAGTTACAATATTACCCACAAATGAGGTTTAACAAAGAAAAAAAGTTTCAAATTAAAGCTGAATTCCAGACAAAAAAAGGTGGAGTAGGGGGGCTAGTCTATAAAAGAAACTTGCCTGAATCCGCTGTCACATGATCTCCGGGCATCTTTCAGCAGGGGTGACATGGGATTTAAAGGAGCTGTCTATTCCCTTCACAGGTCCGACCAACCGGTCTTGTGTCTGCCCCTTGTGTGATGTCACTCCTAAGTTCTGCATCACCCTGTGATGGCCACCTGTGACAGCCAATGGGCACTGCATGACTCTGCGATGGCCATTTGTAACAGCCAATGGGCATTACATGACCCTGCGATGGCCATTTGTGACAGCCGATGGGCATTACATGACCCTGCGATGGCCATTTGTGACAGCCGATGGGCATTACATGACCCTGCGATGGCCATTTGTGACAGCCGATGGGCATTACATGACCCTGCGATGGCCATTTGTGACAGCCGATGGGCATTACATGACCCTGCGATGGCCATTTGTGACAGCCAATGGGCACTGCATGTCCATGTGATGGTCATTTGTGACAGCCAATGGGCACTGCATGTCCATGTGATGGTCATTTGTGACAGCCAATGGGCACTGCATGTCCATGTGATGGTCATTTGTGACAGCCAATGGGCACTGCATGTCCATGTGATGGTCATTTGTGACAGCCAATGGGCACTGCATGTCCATGTGATGGTCATTTGTGACAGCCAATGGGCACTGCATGACCCTGTGATGGCCATTTGGCACAGCCAATGGGCACTGCGTGACCCTGCCATGGCCATTTGTGACAGCCAATGGGGACCGCATGACCCTGTGATGGCCATTTGTGACAGCCAATGGGGACTGCATGACCCTGTGATGGCCATTTGTGACAGCCAATGGGGACTGCATGACCCTGTGATGGCCATTTGTAACAGCCAACGGGCAGCATCCACATAACCAGAAAGCCATATGGGCACTGCAGACTGGACCTTTTTACACTACCGAGCAGAAGAGAGAAGACTTGGGTCATGTGACTGCAGATTCAGGTAAGCGGACAGCCAGATGTATTTTTGTTTTATAGGGCCTTTGCATTATTTAAAAGGGAGGTAGAGTGGGATGTTTTTATTTTTATGTTTCTACCCACATGAAGGTTCCACACATGCATGGCTCTATGCACAGAAAAAAAATTGCAACAAGAAAAGACTTACGTGGTCTCTTCTGCTATACATGTAAAACACTGAGAAGATTTACATCATACAAATCATATTTGTATCCAAAAGAAACCCCATTAAATAAGCAAAATGTCACACTGAATATCCATAGAGTTGTATATAAGGAGAAGTAATGAGCCGGCGTGTGACATCTGCAGTGTCCATAGATCGGGCGGCTCTATAGATCGAAAACTAAGCGATCACAAACCACTGATTGCTCAGCTCACTGTGGTCCCATGCAGAGAGCGCTGCCAGTCACCGCTCCACGCAGGGATTCCCTCCTCCCCTCTCTTTGTGTTCCTCTAGCGCTCATTGGAGGGACAGATCGAGGAGGGGGCGGGCACAGCTGGCGCTGGCTCTAGAGTGGCACAGCCAGCTGTCAATCATACAGCAGGGTGGATCCCGCCAATATTGTCAGGATGCTTCCCGGCTGCAGCGCGGGCTCTGGGCTGTCACAGGAGCACATTACTCCTGTGATCCAAAATAGAACTAAAGCCAAAAAAAAAAAAGGTTTGGCTTTAGTTCTCCTTTAGCAGGAGATCTTCTTTTGGTGGTACTGACCGTGTGAGTACACAACAAGATATAGGCTGGGGCACTTAGCATACAGACGACGCTGCCATCGGACTGGACTTACCGACAGACTGTCCGGCGGAATAGGAATCTGTCCGCGTACGGGAACGCTTGGTGGCCTTTATATTGGCTGTAAAGCACAGCAGAGAGTGGTGAGAAAACGACAGATGGAGAAATTTTAAAAGGCACATTGACTTTTCTAGTCGCTGCTGCAAAAGCTAACCTGTCATTGCTCAAACGGTAAACTAACCCAGCAGGCGCCGCCAGGTGTTGATAGGTGTCACCAGCTTCATAAAATGTTGGCAAATATAGAACTGAAGAAATGGTGGGAGGACAGTGGTGTGCTGTCTAATGCAACCATAGCAGCTAGATTAGTCAGGGCAGCAGAAGATTACAGAACACTGGCTTATAATCAGGGCCGGATTTACTCTCTCTGCTGCCCCAAGGCCAGGCTCCTCTATGCATCCCCCTCTCCGCCAACCCCCTCCCACCCAATGGAGAATGGCAACCAGATGGCGGAGTGGCAGAGATATTTATTTTTTACTTTATCACTTTTTTTATTTGAATTATTTTTTTTTCTTAATTTTTATTTTATAATTTTTTTAATTTCAATTTAATTTTTTTTCCACTTAACTTTATTGCTATCACACGGCAGCTAACAAGCCCCCCGTGTTATAGCATTTGGAGGTGACAGGTTCTCTTTCTTGAACCTGTCACCTCCAATATAGGAGTTCTAGCACAGCACTGTGCTGGCTCTCCTGTGACAGCTGAGAGGGGAAGGCTGTGAGTGCTCGCACGGAGCAGATCAGAGAACGGACGCTCTCTGCTCCCTGCTCTCCATCCTGAAGAGAGGATCTTCGGCCGGCGGGGGGGGGGGGAGCCGGCGAGCTCTCCTGTGACAGCTGAGATAGGAAGGCCGTGAGGCAGGGGGAGGACGGACCTGCAGGCTGCATACAAGTGATCTTGGCGGCATCGCCGAGATCACTTGTAAATGGAGAAACAGCTTCCCCGCTCTACTTTTAGCTGTGCTTGCCCAAAACAGAGCTAAATGTAGGAAACAACTACCCGCCCCTTGCCCCGGACGATAGGAATACCAGTCACCCCTCTGCTCCCCTGGCCCATGGCCTTGTGGGAATTCCGGCCCTGCTTATAATTCAGTACTAGTCTGCTACATGGAAGCCACAGCTGTGCAAGTGTTGGTAATATCTCAGTATGGCGCTCGTACAATATAACAATCTCCAGAAACATTACATGAAATATGTAACACAGACCACCTCCTATGGTACTCACTGTCCATCAGCCTCCAGTTGAGGAGTGGATCATACACGAAGGCCTCCAGTACGGCCATAACACTGTCTCTATGTTCCCGTAGAACCTCCATTACTGTGTGGCAGGTGATGCGGTAGTTTCCATCCAGGCCGGTTACCTGTAGATCAAGGAAGATAAGAAATGTATGAAGCGGGCAATAATTACAGGCATTCATCAAGAGGTTCGTTCCCCACCTCCATAGCGTTGGTCAGCATTCTCGTTAGCCGGAATGGGATCTTCTCTGGGAACTTCTCTCTGGTCATGGCCACCTACGATATAAAGAATAGAGTCATTAAACACTGACAAGTACATGAAAATTTGCATGCTGGCAGTTAAAATACCAGCTTCATGAAAACAGTAACGGAGGGGGGGTGTTTGAGGACGGTTTCAGGTTGGACGGCTAGCACTAATGTACTAAACCTGATGCTCTCACACCAATGCAGTTTAAGGGTGGATGCTGGGGAAAAGGGGGTGTTAGATACCCGAGAGTAGTGATGGGTTCGGGTGTGTTTGCAGCTCCACGTGCCGAGCCTGCCAGGAAGCTGACCGCGCCAATCAAAAGGTACTGAGACATTATCCCGATCCGCAGCTGCAGAGATCGGGAAATGTCTCCGTGCCTGTGATTGGCACCGCGGCACTGTCAGCTTCCTGGCGGGCTCGGCACGTGGAGCTTCGAACACGCCCGAACCCATCACTACCTGTGAGCTGGCAACACAGCACCTAGCAATGAATCCACCTGACAGAAATATATTGAACAAAGGTGGGGGCCCTCCAGCTGTTGTAGAACTAAAAAGTCCCATGAGGCATTGCAAGGCTGACAGTTCCAGGCATCACAGGATTTGTAGTTAAAGGAGAACTATGGGGTCAGTGTTTTTCCCCATAGTTCTCCTTGGGGTAACGGGAGGACACAAACTAGCGTCCTCCCGTTACCCTAAGCTCAGTATATACGGAGCTACAGCTCGCGGTATACTGAGACGCCGCACCTGGAGCGGATCCCGACTTAGATGACGGGATCCGCCCAGCTGCGTGAGTGACAGCTGGCTCTGCCTATCTAGAGGCAGAGCCAGCTGTACCCGCCCCCCCCCCCGTCCGTTCCGCCGGTCGGGGCTGGCGGAGCGGGGAGGGGGGAATCCAGCCCCTCCCCCTGTCACGGCAGAGAGCCGTGACAGGATCGAGAGGTGAGCGAACGCCGGTATGTGTTCGCTCACCTCCCGATCTACTGAGCAGACCTGTGACAGTCTCATTGTTACAGGTCGGCTTAGAACTATGAGGTGAGTGGAAATCACTCATGTCATAGTTCTCCTTTAAAACACAGCTGGAGGGCCAGCGTTGCCCACCCCTGAACTAAGGGCTGTAAATAATTACACAGCCTCCTCTGTAATTGCAGAAAGTTTACAGTCCAGCGGAATTTTCAGTTTAAATCAGCTAAATACATTCCAGGTGCTTAAAAACAAGTTTTGCAATTTATTACAGTTTGTTTTTCTTTTGGAACCAGCCACAGCCTGAGAACGGCCCGTCCCCTGCCAGCATGCTGCAGAAAAGGAGCCTTGCTCTCCACGTGGAAGAAGTGGTCTCTCTGCAAAGATCTGACATCCCCCCTTTGCTGTGATTTAAAGCTCATGCTCTCTGCGGATTGGAGAGCCCTAGCTTTGACTCAGCAGGGGGCATGGCTCTGCAGAGAGACCGCTGCTTCCACACAGAGAGCAAATGTCCCTCTCTGCAGCATGCTGGCAGGGGGCAGGCTTTTTTTTTTAACTCAGGTTGTGGCAGCTGAAGGGCTGGTTCACACCGCAAAGTCTGCGTTCCAGAGCGTTCGGCCTCTGAGCCAGCCAGCTCCCTGCGTTCAAGGGCGGAAGGGGGCGTGGAGGTGCATTGAAGCCAATGGCACCACAGCCACACCCCCTGCCCACAGTGCAATCGCACTCACCGCAGGCACATTAGTGTTTGCTTTCCGGTCCAGTGCAATCTGCAAAAATAGTGCTTGCAGTATTTTTGCAGATCGTGCGGGCGGGAGTTGGACTGGGGGGGCGTGGCTGCGATACCAATGACTTCAATGCACCACCACGCTCCCTCCTACAGGGAGCTGGCTGGCTTTCGTACCAGACGCCAAACGCTCGGGAACGCAGACTTTGTGGTGTGAACCGGCCCTTAAAAAGCAAACAAACCCTTTGCACACATTTTGCTTTGATGCACCTGGAACGTTTTTATACCATTTAAACTGAAAGTTCAATTGGGCTTCAACCCCGTCCTGCAGAATCCCTTCAAGGTGGCCAAACATGTAGCCATTATCTGCAGATATGGGTCATTAAAGCCTTTCCTGTTGATAATCCCTTGATCTATGGAATGTTCCGGCTTTTCTGCCTGACAAGTTAGCCACTCTTGCTTGCATACAGCTGTTCCAGGCACGTTGGCCCTCATCCTTGCAAGGTATGGAAGCCACAGCTTCTGTGCAGTAGGGTCCACAGAACGGGGAAATGCTTTACCTTACAGTACATCTAGAACCGAGACGTTTAGGCCTGAAACCTGACCACTCACTTTGTCTGGATGACATGAGCAGCAGAATGTAAGACCGCTTCCTGGATTAGTGAGGTCAGGCAGCATCAAAGGAAACAAATACGGCAGAGGAAGACGTCTCTAGCTCTGTTTGGAAAATTCGGTGTATGAGTTCTACACATCCATCTAATAGTCATCTGCGTCTGTTGGGTCACATCAGTGTGCACTCCACCCTGCTTTCTGCCAGCCATCTGCTTCATGTTAAATGTCCTGAACCCTCCACTATTCTGCCGACATTAATATCTTGTGTTTAAAGTCCTAATCAGATTGAAGACAATACTTTGTACAAAGAGAGGCAATCAAGAAAGTAAAAAGGGCTCCATTCCTGGGTGCTTATGTATTCTTCAATAATTGCCTTACATCACTGCACAACAAACCCCTTCCCCTAATTGTCTGCAATGGACAGGGCAGTGATGTCACTGGATGCTCCGTGCTGCATACACAATACAAGGTTTGGGGGCCTCATAACAATGCACTCAATAATTACATTTAACTCACTCATTGCCAGGCAAAGTTTTTACTCAAAAGGAAACAAATGAAAAAAAGTATCTACTAAGAGCAGGTAGGTGATCACCTCGAAACAGTCACCAAAGTCAATGTGTAGAATTTTCCCACTGAGCCGGTCCAGCATCAAGTTGGAAGGATGTCTGCGAGAAGAGAGGACGGCAAGTAAGACATCAGTGATCAGGAACCCTCAGACCCATTGTTCACCCCCCAACTTTTCTGCCTGTAAACATTCCAAATACAAACACTACAGGTGAAACTCGAATAATTAGAATATCGTGCAAAAGTAATGGCAGTAATTGCTGCAAAAGTGGCCCAAACCAAGTACTGAGTACATATGCATGCTTGTACTTTTCAGAGGTCCGATATTGTTCTATGTACAATCCTTGTTTTATTGATTGCATGTAATAATCTACTTTTTTGAGGTTGTGGATTTGGGGTTCTTGGGGTTTTCATGAGCTGTAAGCCATAATCATCACAATGATGACAAATCACGGCTTGAATTATCTTGCTTTGCATGTAATGAGTCTATCTCATATATTAGTTTCACCTTTTAAGTTGCATTAGTGAAATAAATGAACTTTGCACGATATTCTAATTATTCGAGTTTCACCTGTATATGGCCAAAACTAAAAAAAAAAAAAAAAAAAATGCATCCTGCTGAAGATGATTAATAATACTTACCCCATCTGGATGCCTCTAACCTTTTCTCTTTTGCACAGCTTCAAACACACACCAGAAGCATCACACTTCGGATCTGTGTTGCGGTGCATTCAATGCAATGTGTGTTGTGTTACAGCCATTTATTTAGACTGGGTTGCCAATGCATCACAACCAAAAACAGACATGCCCTATTCTTTTCAATGCAGCACACCACAAGGGACGGCATGCATTTTTTCTTTTGCTTTTGCTTTAATACGCTACACATATGGGTATCACGCAGAAAACTGTCAATCACTTCCAATAGAAAGACGTCAGTGACTTGCAATGTGACACTATCGAGAGAATGTTACAGTCCCCACAAGCCAGCAGGTCAAATATCTGCACTGCTGGAGCTGCTCTGTGCCCTGTACTGTGCTCTGACCTCAACCCTGCCGAACAGCCAGGATATTAAAGAGGAAATGAAGTGTGGAAGTTATGCCCAACAAAAGCAGGCATAGGATAAAGGACTAGTCTGCACTATTGCCTTGGATCTCCCTGCAGCTGATCTTTTTTTTCTCCCTACTGACTTACCATGCCTTGTTCGGCACTATGTGGCAGCAGCCATCATGGTAGAGGCAGGGCTTTGCATCCTCATGTTGGCACTTCTAGCAAGGAGAACAGTAGTGACATTACCAGAGCGCACAGTTATTATCCTCAGACTAGCAGTCAGAGGCAGCAGAGCCTTACATTTAACACTGCAGATATACAACTGAGGATAGAGAACAGAGCTCTCTCACACCAGGAAGCGCACTATCTTTTTTTTGGGGGGGGGGTTAATAAAAACAAAAGGTACATTTATCATGGTACTGTTTAGGCACAACTAAATGTACCCTATATCATTGCAAATCTTTTGCTTTCTGGTCTATGTTAACTGCAACACTGACAGCAAGGCGGCTGCCATCATCACCAACCACAAGTGCCAATTTCAAATGATACTCTTATTGATGAATGCAAAAAAATTCCATCAACAATGTTCCAAAATCTACTGGAGCCTTCCCATGAGGGAAAAAGCTCTCACAGATTTTTGGAATGAAACACTGCATGTCCAGATGCTCACGAATGGAGTTATTTAATACAGAACAGCAATTATCAAAGCATATAAAATGGCAGATAAGATTTAACATGCTACTGTTATTCCTAAAGCCATTTTTTAAATCCGCAGCTTCTTTAGGCATTTCCTGTTATAGGGTGCCAACACTCTTGCAGTTGTGCTCCCGTCTTGTCACATGGCTTTCCGATGACAGTCCCACCTCCACCACCCCCTCTCATGTAACAGCACCTCTTCCACTTGGGTCACCTACCTGTCACCTAGCCCCAGGATGTACCCCACCATGGACATCACTGCCAGAGAGCGGGTGTAATTAGTTCTTCTGTCAAACCAGACCTGGAACATAAAATGAAATACTAACTTACATCTGGGAACCATGCGTTGAGGCCTTTATTACTTTTATCACAATATATTGCAAATAAACTACCTTTTTTAGCTACCTTTCCATCTCAACAAACAAACAAGACACTCGTTGTATTAATAGAAGTGTGTCGTAAGAGAATTGCATAGTCTGCCATTGCTGACCTTCCATGAAAATACTCATTGCCTGGTGTGCTGCCACAGCCAGTGCCATTTTTGTATTATTTCGGCTGTTTCAGTTACACTGCATATATATTGCATTACATTGTGTTATGCTGTATTCCCAGGGGAGGCCAATAAGTTCTTACCCTCACCATGATCTAGATGTGCTAGGGATCTGATATTTTGCAGAAGTCCTGGAGGCGAGTATGGGAGGAGTTGACAAGGGAGCTGAAAAGCAGGAGGCCTTGGGAAGAGCGGAGTGGACGGTTAGGGTTGATCCAGTGGCTTCAATAAACTGAGTCACTGATAAGGAACAAGGATCCAAGTCAGATGTTCTGCCTTAACTGGCTGCATTTTAGTCCCAGTCAGTGACGCAAAGTATTGAACCTATAAACCTTGAGGCAGATAACATTCTAGGCAGCAATGGCAGCCTTCCGTCAAATGAAACATTTCTAAATGCTATTAACCTCTAAACTGACATATAAATGCAGCATGCCTACTTGGAAATGTTAGCACCGTGGCATTGCTCTCTTACCTCGGAGCTGGGGCTTTTTAGCCAGAGCAGCTTGGCAAGATCATCCCCGGCAGTGTTGTTCACAGCATGTTCAAACACCTCCACCTTCTGCATGAGGGTCAGATGGTCGTAATCTGGAGCCATCTGAGAACAGATACTATGATTAGCTCCCGCTCTGTTGTGCCGTACATAATGATCCGCCTAAGGAGATCGCTGGATTACCCTTAGCATGATGCGGTGCTCTATGTTCAGCAGTATCTTCTTCTTCTCCCGGTAGTCTCGGATCAGAGCATGCAGAGTGTCGCAATGTGGCACCCAACCAATCAGGCCCGAGTTTGTGGACAGAGGGATGACCGCATATCTCTGGATGCTGCTGGGAGAAAACGAAACATCATCACCGAGACACAGTTACCAACGCTGCCAGACTAACGCCGGAGGGGTCAAAGACGCTACCTGAGGTTTTTCCGCAGAGATGCCGGATCATTTGCTAGCAGCGTGTTCACCAGGCCGAAGAGCTGCATCACCCTCTCATCCTGGCGCAGGTCTTCGTGACCCTTCAGAAGAAACATGAATTCATGGCCGTTGCTTCCTGCAGAGATACAAAGCAGATTTGGGGTAAAGATTCACACCAAACATTACTGGGATTAGGATTTGTATGTGGAGTTCGATGGAATCATTTAAAGGAGAACTATGGGGTCAGGGATTTCCCCCATAGTTCTCCTTAGGGTAACTGGAGGACAAACTAGCGTCCTCCCGTCACCCTAGGCTCAGTATACCGCGAGCCGTATACTGAGCGGTATACTGAGACGCCGCAGCTGAAGCGGATCCCGACAATTGTGGCGGGATCCGCCCAGCTGCGTGACTGACAGCTGGCTCTGCCTATCTAAAGGCAGAGCCAGCTGTACCCACCCCCTCCCCCGTCCGTTCCGCCAGTCAGCGCTGGGGGATCGGAGCGGGGAGGGGGGAATCCAGCCCCTCCCCTGTCACAGCAGAGAGCCGTGACAGGATCGAGAGGTGAGCGAACGCCGGTATGTGTTCTCTCAACTCCCGATCTACTGAGCCGACCTGTGAGTTCTCCTTTAATAACTGTCCTAAAGAGAACCAGTCATAAATGGACTTGTGCATGCACCTGTATATTTAGTCTTAATCTATAACCATTCCGGCTTATGTATGAAAGAGTTATATGTGCCCTCATTTTTTAGTTTCATCTTGAGTGTCTGGGGAGAAGTAAGTTGTCACCTAATCTTCTGAAATAATAATATCAAACAGAACTAAGAGGAATCTAAACGATGAGGTTCAGAGATTTGAACCGCACGCCCAGGAGCTGTAACACAGGAGTCTAGCAGATGACAAAGAAGACACTGACGGACCTCAGGGAGCCTCTCAGTTCCAGAGCCGCTGTCTGTTCAGACTATATGACTGGCTGGTTCTGACATCAATACAGTCTGTTTAAATGCCGAGACACAGGAAGTGTCCTAGGCATGTCAAATTAGCAAAGATGTCACCAGCATACCAAAAAGATTTCAGCACTTTACACTGTATAACTGAAACAATGGAGGATCCAGCATCTACCATCTACACTTTTCCAGGGTTCTGTGACATTTATTCACGGAGCATGCCGAGTCACTTGCTGCCATCTCAGATCCAGCTCCAACAGTGAGGTCTCCCCACCATACTGTGGACGTTTTGTAACCCCTCTTCTTTGGGGTGTTCCTACTTACCCGCGGGCCCCAAAAATATAAAATGAACATCCGGCAGGTAACCTGGGGCCCCCATCTAGCAGACTTTGCAGGTGTGTGGTGAACTCAAACACATATATGTTATAACTACATGCATAATACATAGATGTTAAAAGGTCTGTAAGTAAAAAGCAAAGCCCACCCATCAGTGTCAGCTTCCTTGGCCTCTGCTTGGAGGTGATGACTTGCAGAGAAGCTGCTATGGACTGGATACGTATTATCGGTTGATTGGGGTCGTATGTTCCTGGCACAGCTAGCTCCAGATCTCGGCACATTAGAAGCTTGGGCGAGACGTACTGAAGTTCCAGTGACGTTAGCTGTAATACACAACACAATGGAATACCAAACAAACAAAACCACATCTCCGTCAAAGTAATGTCAACGGCCAACGTATTCACCTGCGGCAGCTGTTTGGAGATTCTTCTAAAGACGTGGTAGTAAAGGTCCCAGGCCTGCGTCAGATCTTTCACATTCCCCGATTTCATGTATTTCCGACACCAATCCTGAGCTTCCATCAGATCTCTCCCATAGGCCTTCAAGGGCAGGTAGGAAGGAAAGGAGGTCGCATGACGACAGCCGAGGGAGAATTGGAAGCAAACATTAGGATGACGTCAGATACGTTGCAGAGCGAGTAAACTAAAAAGATGGACATTTCCCAAAGACTTTTAATATCACATGAAAGGAAATGTGATATTTGCCAGGCCGTTTCAGCAAAGGCATGAAAGAGTGACCTACTGGTTGCAGAATTCCAACTCAAGTAAGTTCTGGTGTCAGAGCATTCCGGAGATGATAACATTCTTCCACTGGTAACATCTTATGCTTTTCTGTGGCTGCTGGCTCTGACAGCCCATTAAGTCTGCTTTGACCTGCCATGCAACACTAGCATTGCTAATGCTGCAATTCTTTTCTCTAGGGAATCTCAAAACCAGACCCTGAAATATGAAAGAACTATACCCGAGACTGCACTATGTGACACCATTACATGAAACATGATAGGGTATCAGCTGCAGGTATAACACTGCGTCAGTCTACTGTTTCTTTTCTCTATTCTATGACAGCAAGTGCTGGCAGTCTTAGGCCCCATTCATACTAAGCGGATTGTCATGCGATTTTGCGCATTTTTGCCGTGCGATATCGCGAGAAGTCGCCGGCCAATGATTTTCAATGGAGCTGTCCTAAAGGAGAACAATGGGGTCAGGGCTTTTCCCCATAGTTCTCCTTAGGGTAACAGGAGGACACAAACTAGCGTCCTCCCGTCACCCTAAGCTCAGTATATAGGGAGCAACAGCTCGCGGTATACTGAGACGCTGCAGCTGGATGTCTGGATCCGCCCAGCTGCGTGAGTGACAGCTGGTTCTGCCTATCTAGAGGCAGAGCCAGCTGTACCCGCCCCTCCCCCGTCCGTTCCGCCAGTCAGAGGGGAATCCAGCCACTCCCCTGTCAAGGCAGAGAGCCGTGACAGGATCGAGAGGTGAGCGAACGCCGGTATGTGTTCGCTCACCTCCCGATCTACTGAGCCGACCTGTGACAGTCTCATTGTCACAGGTCGGCTAGAACTATGAGGTGAGTGAAAAGCTTGTTCTCCTTTAATGTACAGCCTCCATGTCGCGCCTGCAGGACCCTTTTTTCGGCGGATGTCGCTCGATTTTTCTATTTTTTTAATGCAGCCCGACGGTGAAGGTCGCGCTACCGTCGCCCCGAACAGTCGCGCTATCCCGGCTGCGCGGATCCGCTTCTAAAGGTATGTCGCTTTTAGTGTGAATGGGGCCTAAAGCTGGCCATACACTATGCAAAATTCACACAGTGGTTGCCACTGTCGGCCGGCATCCCTCGGTCAGCTGATCAAAGGATCCGGTTGGAAAATCATTGAACAACCAGAGCCAGTGGCCAATCAGCTGCCGGCTTTGCATGGATAGTCTGATAGCACCCAGCAGCCGCCATCAGAATACAATGAAGACGGAGTAGCATTCCGCGATCAATGTTAGTAATTGTTGATGAGGGAATCTGTTCGGTTGAACGAAGAAAATATTACAGAGTAAGGGCAGCTTTACTGTCGGTCTTCTTTTAATGTTCAGTTTGTATTCAGAGGATGACAGTCATTTAGAATAAGATAGAATTCCTGATAAATTCACATGTAACAAATGGAAGGAGTCTGCCTGGAGTCCTTCCAACTGTTACATAGTTACTCAGGTTGAAAAAAGACACAAGTCCATCAAGTTCAACCTAACTGACGATTAGTTCCCATCCATGGTAGGAGGAGGTCATAAAAAGAGCGCACCTGATTGAATGATGTCTCCTTCAGGGTCTGAGGTCCCCTTTCCATCATGGCATGTAGAGGGTCCAGCACTGCGAACATCCCCTTCACATTCCTCTCACCAAAGTACAAGCGTGATGCTTCCTCCAGGCCTTCGTGCCACATCTCATGCCACAGAATAGCCACGCGGATCAGCTCCTCGCTTACCTAGAGTTACGGGAGGAGTGACATTGTTATGGAGACTGACACTTGTACGGTCAAATATAACTAAGTACATAGCTGAAGTCCATGTATGTAAACTAGGGATGCACCGATACCACTTTTTTAAGACCGAGTACCGATACTTTTTCCCGATCGCATTTTTTCTAAAGCAATACAAAATAATGCTTTAATGTCACTTTCTTAATATTATGATTCATGAGATGACGAGGGAGCATGACGCCGGGAAGAATCAGAATGCTGGGCGATGCCTCATTGCACGGCTTCCGGATTTGCTAGCTTCCTGACCAATCGGGAAGCCGGGCAGAAAACTATATTATAAATAAACTTGCAAATCTCTGCAGCTACCCTTGTGATATGCACCCCTGCAACAATGTAGTGAATCAGAAGGGAGAGGTCTAAGAGCAAGCTGTCTCTGAGGATCGGCTGAGTTTAACTCTTATATTTTTAACCTAGATGAAAGTTTTAGCTGGAGCTCTGCTTCAAGTTTAACTGGCCCAATAAAAAAAGGGATCAAGCCAAAACAAGCTATTTGCAGGCTCTGCAAAAGTACCCATGTTATCGAATCCTGCCCTGATCACCCGGAAACCTCCAAACTAGGGCAACACTAAGCCCTCATTCACACTAGAAATGGCCGGCACATACAGCTCCGTGCACGGCCGTATCGGGCAGCTCCCGGGAAGGACAGGTGCTGCGTGTGATTAGTACACAGTCCACTACCTTCTCTATGGGAGTACTCAGCCGTACGCCCCCCTACGTTCCGTGCGGGTGAGGGTACTCTTACGCTGACAGGATGGATCCTCTCTGCGCCCGAGCCGGGAAACACGCACCTTTACAGACCTGCACTTGGGCTGAGCGTAGGGCGGCGTACTCCCATAGAGAAGGACAGGGGCTGCGTACTAATCACACGCACCTGTCCTTCCCGAGAGCTGCCCGATACGGCCGTGCACGCAGCACCGAGCTGTACGTGCCGGCCTTTTCTACTGTGAATGAGGGCTTAACATGAAAACACAGTCACACCGTACTCAACTCCGCCATGCATTGCAGGTCCCAAAGCGTTGTGCATTGCATTGTGGGACATTAGGGGGGCACCCCACATTTCCAGCCGGCAGCTAGAAACGGAATTTGCACTTTAAATATGGCTGTGTAAGGAGAAAACAAAAAGGCAGTGTGCAAGTCAAAGCAGCGGACTTTATCTAAAGAATCACACGGGGTCTGTGGCTGCCGCAGAGTAAATGGTTCTCTTTTGATATACAGCAAGGGATGGATTTAGTAAAATTTTGTAAACCAAACACAACCCTGAGGGAAAAAAAAAAAAACAGTCAAAGAAATATCTATACAAAAATCAGTTTCAGGATGGCCGTGTGGCGCTGGGACGTACCATAATGGCCTGTTGTACCAGCGTGTTGCTGTGCTCACACATGTTCTTTAGGATCTTATTGGCCGCGTTGTGGCGTGCGGTGGTCGTCGACTTGGAGGCCACTGTGAGCGGATAGATGAGAGCCTGAGGGAGAGAGAAGCAACAAATAAACGTTAAAGAACGCAGCCATGTGCGCTAATTGTGCCACGCCGGGCAAAGGTCACGCGTGCAGTCCTGATCTTATACCGACAGACCCGCGCCTTCATAGGAAGGAATTCTCATGCGTGATTATAATGAGGATCCGTGGGGACCGTTAACTAGTCCCGGGCATAAACACAAACGTAAAACAGAAGGTCAACCCGGACCAATAATGAGAACAGAACAACAATTACTCACACAGCGAGGGAGAAGCAGATGTTCCTGAAACTGAACAAGCTCTATGTCAATAACTGAGGGGTTTATATATTATCTGAAGGAAGCCGGATTACAAATTGAGGGAAACCAGCTACAATTCAGCCAAATCCTTGCGGATCTATACCAACCAGTCAGAATGCACATCATTCGGAAAATGTAAGCAGTGCTATTGATCGCTGGCTGGATGTGATCACGCTGGAGCAATAAGGGCTCTTTTATAGCAGAACTCTGGGCACAATAATAAATATATTACTCAATAAGGACAATAGATATAAATGTACTTTGTGTGCACCAAATGCCTTTGGAAACCCGGATATTACCTGGTAAAAGTAGTGGTGACATCACTGTGTTACATATAGTCTGTACAGAAAGCAGCAATGTGGGAGGGGCTCAACAGGTCCCACCCACTACAGGCTGCCTATAGAAAATGATAATATACTCTGCCCGTAGCTCGCATGGGACATTGCAGCTGTTGCCGCCGGTTCTAAAACCAAAAGAGTGATCTCGTAACCGCTGATCGCTCAGCTCTTGGTGCCTTCTCCTGGCTGAGAGCAATGACTGTCAGCCACCGCTCACTGCAGGGATTCCCTCCTCCCCTTACTGTATTTTCAGCTCTCACTGGAGGGACAGACGGGATGGGGTGGGTACGGCTGGCTCCGGCTCTACAGAGGCAGAGACAGCTGCCAGTTAGGCAGCCGGGGTGGATCTCAACAATATTGTCAGGAACCTTCTTGGCCAGGGTGAGAAAAACACTGTCCCTCCAGCCAGTGGCGTCACAAGGGGGGTGCAGGGAATGCGGGCCGCACCTGGGTGACACCGAAATGACTGTCATTTTGGTGTCACCCCCTCTAAAAAGTCGGGCATTCGGTCATGGACCGAGAGCCCAACAGTGTCAGGAGAAAGGAGGGGACCCGGCGACATACCTCATCCCAAGTGAACGTCCCCTCCTCTCTCTGCCCACGTCCATCACTAAGATGGCCGCTGGCAGGTGTCACTTAGATTTCCCCGCACGCGCAATGACGCCACGGCGGGGTTGTCACCCCGGTCTCCACTCCGGGTGACACCTGGCCTCGGGACGCTCCTACCTCCAGCTGTGCTTATTACATATCCCAGCATGCCTCTGAAAGACATGCCTGTAACTGACAGTCTTGCAATTATTATACAAGATGTATATAGCGCCAACAGTTTGCGCAGCGCTTTACAATATAGGGAAGACATTACAATCACAATACAAATCAAGACAAGATGGTAAGGAGGGCCCTGACCTCATGGGACTTGTAGTTCCACAACAGCTGGAGGACCAGAGTTGCCCATCCCTCTTCTTGGCTGTGTCGCGTCTATCGGGACAGTCGCATTTGCTCTGTTCACTTATATGACCTTCCTCCATGATGGCAGTAGAGGACAAAAGCTATTTACTACTACCTGTATCTCAATTAATGAGGAGTGCCACGTAACGAATCCTCTTCAGCTCACGTTGAGTCAATTAAAAAGGAAAAAAACAAAAACCTTTTAAAGCCCCGTGATAGAATATATTAAAGTAAGATGGTGTTTAAAATCCTTCCACTGCTGGCAATATCATCATGCAAGGCCTGCTTTTAATTGGCCAGAGATAGCCAAGGTCCTGCCAGCCAAAGGTGAACGCTGGCGGGCGCACCACCAAATACCAAACTTATTGCTAAAATACCCTGATTGCCTGGAAGTTTATGTAACGTCGTATCAACAACCATCTTCCTGGACCTTCTGCTGCATTGTTCATTGTGCTTTGTTTTAATTCCCTGTTCCAGCAATGACAGACGGCAATAGAAATGCCAGCAAAAGGTTCATAAAATAAAACAGAGGCTCCTTATCTGTCTGATTGCCTCTCGCATTATGCGGATTCCTTCAGCTACAAACACTTCATTCCTGCAGCATGTGCTGTGCTGGGAGGACAAGATCCAGTTTCATTGTAAATTCCAGAGCTGAGTCCCGGCCACCGGCATCGGGGAAAGTGGATTTCAATCTGCTCTCATCTGGCCTTAAACTGACACTGACCGATATATTGACGTTATAGACAGAAACAGGAACGCCTTAGGTGGATGGGCGTTGTTTTGTAGCACTTAGTTGATTGGTATGTCTTGGTATATATTGTTGTATGTCTTTCACTTCACTGTTATCTCTAAGCCTGATGAAGGGGACCCTGCGTGGCCCCGAAAAGCACTTGCCAATGAGATACAGCTATTGGCAATAAATTTACATTTAGCTCTGCTGGTGACGTTTTTCTATTGTTAATATTGATATTATAGGTGCAAATCTGGTCTATTAAGATGTATGTAAATCCGGAAAAAAAACCAAAACTAATCCCGCCACCACATCAAAGGACTGGTAAGCTGCAATATGTTACATTTTTGTTTCTAGGTTGGAGATACACTTTTAAACCAAAACTTTAGTTTGGAGTAGAGTGTGGTGGCCCTCCTGCCAGTGGCGTCACAAGGTGGGTGCAGGGAGTGCGGGCCGCACCTGGGTGACACCATTGGAGGGGTGACACCGAAATGACTGACTCTTTAGAACCTCAGCCTGGCTTCCTAGTAGATTCTCCCTTTCTATTTCATCAGAAAGTGATAAAACAAAATCCAAAATATTACAGGTAGAGTGTGGAAATCTTCCAATGGGGACACCTGTTATGGTGACAACCAAGAATGGCTTTCCCTTTCACTTTGGAGAGATATCCTCTCACTTCCCGTTGCGTCTAATGAACAGGAAGTTAGAAAATATCTCCCCAGTTTGTGTCTCAGACTGGAAGCTCAGCTGGGCAGGACTCTGACTCCTCTTTCTTTTTTCAACTCCATTCACATCTATATTTTTGGTGCGATTAGGGATCCCTGCATCAGGCACTTGTGTGCTCCTGCAACAGGAATGCCTAATCTGCTGCAGTGGCAGTTGTCACCCATTCAAGTTAATGATCAGATGACAGCTCCTCCATTGGAAAGCAGCAGAATGCTGGGACACTGTGATATGATTACATCCAGTTAGGAATCAATCACTCTGCCTGGACGCCTTGATCAAAGGGATAAGATTACATGCGGCGTGCTGGCGTTTGACTAGGGATACACCGATACTAGTATTTGTATTGGTGCCGAGTATTTGGCTGAGTGCTCGTACTCGTCCAAATGCTCCAATGCCTGGCTCGATACTTCCGGTACCAGGAAGCTGGGCAGCGCGTCAATACACGCTGCCCGGCTTCCTGAAAAAAAATATCGGTACACGTACTCGATACCGAAATAGGTGCATTCCTAGTTCCGACGCTTTCAAATGCAGCGGCTGTCACCCGACCATTAACTTGAATGGATGACAGCTGCAGCTTGTAAACGGCAGATTAGGGATTCCTGCTGCAGGAAATCGCAAGTTCCTAAAGCAGGACTGAAGGTTCCTGAAGGTGTGAATAGAGCCTTATATAGTTTGTATATATTTTGTTTTGGATGCATTTTATTGCTGGAATGTTTAACTGTGTATTCACTCTATACAATAGGGGGGTTCTATAACCGTGATATCCATACCAAATGATCGGGGTATGGATAGCTTAACATTTAGAAAAATGCTGATAGGTTAGATTATTAACTATCAATGTTATCAATATGGATTGAGGTGGCATGGCCACTAACCAATCAACGGTCAGATCACAGACATCCAGAAACATAGAGTGGGCTGTAAAGCCTTATTCCGGACTGCAGAAAAAAACTGCTCTTGCAGTGAGGCCTCCCCGGCGCTGCAAAGGTTAAATGCTCATGAAGTCCAGGGTTGGAGGAAAAAGGTGTGATAGGTTATTCTTCAATCTGGAGTGCTCCGGACATGGTCACACTGACATCGTCACTTACAATTTAGGACCCGGGAGCCAGGAATATTTTTTTTATAATTTTTTATCTTATTATTGTTTTTTTTAAAACTTTTTAATTACCTTTTTATTTAATTATTTCATATTTTTTTTATCATTAGAAGGGCATTTTCTTTTCAAATACCAAAGTTCAACTTTAAGAACTTCTGCTCAGGGCAGCAATAAAATTACCTGTGGGTGGTATCTTCCAATATCTGTCAGCAATTGGTGGATCAATCGACCAACCAGAGGCCTGGGGGTGTCTATTCTGGCAATGAGCTGTGGAATGACCTGTATAAATAAAACAAGCGATGAATATCGAGTTTACAAAAAGGTATAAGAAAATGTTAAGAAAACATGTACACCCAACAAGGGGTGCTAGCAATACATATTCAAAAACCAAAGGGTATCTGGGATAGGAAGGCCTATGCCCGGTGTCACACTGGCTTTCACACAGTGGTAGCCAGTTAAAGTGTATGTATGGTCAGCACAGTGGTTAGTGCTTCTGCCTTGCAGCAATGGGGGTCCCGGGTTCGAATCCAGAAACATTCAGATAGTAACCTGCCAGGTTACTATCTGAATAGAGTTTGCATGTTCTCCCTGTGCTTGCGTCGATTTCCCCAGGTACTCCAGTTTTCTTCCCACACTCCATAGACACGCATGGAAGGTTAATTGGCTCCTGTCTAAATTGGCCCTCGTACATACAGGTGAAACTCGAATAATTAGAATATCGTGCAAAAGTAATTGCAGTAAGTGCTGCAAAAGGGGCCCAAACCAAGTACTGAGTACATATGCATGCTTGTACTTTTCAGAGGTCCGATATTGTTCTATGTACAATCCTTGTTTTATTGATTGCATGTAATAATCTACTTTTTTGAGGTTGTGGATTTGGGGTTCTTGGGGTTTTCATGAGCTGTAAGCCATAATCTTCACAATTATGACAAATCACGGCTTGAATTATCTTGCTTTGCATGTAATGAGTCTATCTCATATATTAGTTTCACCTTTTAAGTTGCATTAGTGAAATAAATTAACTTTGCACGATATTCTAATTATTCGAGTTTCACCTGTATGCATGTGAGATAGGTACCTTGGACTGTAAGCTTCTTGAGGGCAGGGACTGATGTGAATGTGCATAGTGTAAGGTGCTGCGTAAATTTTCGCCACTATATAAATACTGTTAAAATAACAACAAAAACATACTCAGTACTTCACTGCACCGTGTTTTACCCCTTTAAAATCAGTGCAAGTGTAGAAAAACAGCTGATGATATGCCAGAAATTCAGTGAGCTCCTAACTTCCTGTATAAGCCGACATTACACTGCCTCTGCTGCACTGAAATCCCAAGCAGTGTTGTCATCCCTGAGTTGTCCCCTGCTAGACTACAGAACACCTTCCTCTCTCCTCATCTCGATAGGATTTTCAGGCTCTCTCCCCTTTATCGTCTCTTGATGATCCTGCCAGTAAAGATCGTCCTGTTCTATTGTGACACCTTTATCTCACCGTGCTGTGTCTATGGACTCGCCTCTATGACTAAGCCCATCATTGGGTGAAACATGTCAGAGTGAAGAGGATGCACCGGGAGGGACAATGTGTACCTGTGTGCTACAATAAACGTTTCAGCAAAGCTTGTGGTGTGCTACTGGACTTTTATTCTGCGAGTGACTGCTGATGCTGGAGCAAGATGGGCTCGGCCGGTGTGCACCCGCCATTCTCTCTGGGGCTGCTGTGAAGGAGCGGTGATATTGGGCTATGGAACTTAGATATGGACTAGCAGTGATACCCTAAGACAGGAAGTATATTAGAAACGTAATCCTCATGTCCCATCGCACTCCTGACCGGAAAGAGCCCAATGCAGCCTGACAGGTGCGGCAGCGACAACTCATGCCTCCGCAAAGTATAGATAAGTGAAGGTAGTCACTCGCACTGCAAGGTAGTAAAGTCAATAATATTTATTGACTCTAAATGATACACATCTCCTTGGCGACGTTTCGGGACCGTGCGGCCCCTTCCTCAGGCAAACAGAGAGTGTTTGCCTGAGGAAGTGCACTCTCCTCCTCCTCCATAACATCAGAGGGAGCTATTCTGTAGTCCACAGAGAGAAGTGGGAAGGGCTGATAACACTGCTTAGGATTTCAGTGCATTAGAGGTTGGGTGCTCAGAACGCTAGAAGCTCACTGAATTTCTGGCAGATCAACAGGTATTGTTCTGTACTTATAATAATTTATACGATTTATTAGGAGGGATAAGACATGGGGAACGTGTATGTACTGCAGAGATGTGCTGAAAATTTCTTTCAGTCTGAACATACTATTTAAAGGGTATTTCCACTTTTCCAAATTCATTTTGAAAAATGGAATTACTCTCCCAATCTGGCCTGCTCTCCCCCATCCCCCCGGCTATATTTATCTTTCAGCAAACGCTCCTTCCCCTCCACCGGTACAGGTGGCACTCATAGGTCAGCAAGAGGCGCTTCTCATTGATCAGTGCAGTCAGAAGCGCTTCTCATTGGTCAGGTGACAGCGCCGACCAATGAGTGCTCGCCATTTGCAAGCGAAATTCAAGATCCAGAGCCGGCCAGATTAGAAGGGGTAATTCCATTTTCCCAAATTCACCCGGGAAATTGGAATGACCTTTTAAGTCAATTATGTACACATCTAAGATCAATGGAAGTGTGTGTGGCAGAGATTGAGTTGTTCAATGTGTACAAATAACTGAATTAGGCAGTTCGCTTCATAAGTGAAACACAATTGTCCACCCATTCCTCCTCCTGCAGCATGGTGTGCTACAAAAGGACAGGTCCACTTTAAAAGCCTGCACGGTTCATAAATTGCTTACCGGTTCACCGGCGGCACACGGAGGAGGAAGAACAGTTTAGGTTTTGAGTTTCTTTGTGGAAACACATTCCGTTCCCGTCTGTTATAAAAGTTCTCTGCTGTAATCAACGGGGAATTTTCTGCCCAAATATCTCAGCACAGAGATGCAGCGGAGGACATCTGGGTGATGCAGAAATATTTACAATCACTGTAAATCATCATTACCTGTAGCCAGGTGTCGATCTGGATGGTTTTGATGCCTTCCACTAGGGCTTCGTTCACATCTGGCCAGTGGCCGTAGTCAAACCAAAGAGTGAGAACTCTGCAATGACACAGATTTCATTATAGTACAGCTGATCTATGGTCGGCCCCACAATGGCAACCTTCCACCCACCAGCAGAGGGAGCTGCAAGTCGTCTGAATGCCAATGTTTTTGGTTAGAGCCCCTTTTTCTCTTCCACTCCAGTGCTCTTTGGTGGCATAGCTGAATAATGGCCACATCCCTTATAACAAGTGTCCTCGCACAGCTCTGTAGTGCATAGGAACGCAGGGGTGTGTCTGACCAAGTTGTAGAGTGCACTGGGCAGTGTCAGTCATATTTTGACACCTGAGCAGGTAGGATTATTAAGTCATATCTACAGTATATGAATGCATTTTGATATTTGCATTACTCCCAAGAGCCAGTCCACTGCTTACATCAGGGCCCTTCAGAGGAGTACTAAGGGCGTGCCATGTACAGCACCCTGCTGACCCTTCCCACTAGGATCTGCCTACATTGCATAGAAAGGCATGGAGACGCAGTGATGACATCACCATGACTGAAATAAGGTATGTAATGGAAATAGAAAGGTTTTATTTCAATGTTTTTTTAGCATGCTGATTAGGGGAAAGAGAGGAACCAGACAAAGTAAATATAAGCAAATAAACTTTATCTTCTGCTCCAATGTTTGCAGGGTTGCAGAAAATAGAAATTCACTAAAATTCACCATTCCTTTCATCTTCAACTGAGAAACACATACGCTCTTATGTTATATATAAATGAATTGTTATGTGTTAGAGGTGTAGGGGGGATTTTGTACTTCTTTCTTCCCCTCCATCTCTCTCTAAAAAAAAAAAAAAAAAGAGATTATTGCTTATTTCAGTTTTTCTTACTTTTATATCTGCAATGGCCTTTACTAACCCTGCTGAGCTATCAGTTCGACTCATCCAACCAAAAGCTCAGTCTGGCTGCGGGATTGTGCAGTTGGCTCCCAGCATGTCTCATATCCTTGGTCTTATCCAGGAAATGGTTGTGTCCTCATTCCCCACTCTGTGATCTCCCAGGGAAAACAATTCGGTGCCCAAGAGGAAATTGTGCATGGAACAGGGAGCGGGCGGAGGAGCCAAGGGCTCAGCTTCTATGGCATCTCGGCAGAAGAGGGAAGCTTACCTTAGTGTGTCCTGCAGGTTGTTTCCTCGGGACAGGGAGATGGAGCGGAAGAATCCTTGCACGGCCGGGACCGTATACTGCAGCAGACTGTGAGAGATGTCCTGTGTGTAGAACAAAGCCATCGGATCAGAGAACCAAATTGCAGAGCACCCTTGCCACACAGTGAATGTCAAAACAGCAACTTAGTTAGAGAACTGCGAGGTGAGTGATTTTCACTCAACCTCATAGTTTGAGCCGACGTGTGACAATGAGACTGTCACACGTCGGCTTAATAGATTGAGAACACATACCGGCGCTCGCTCACTTCTCGATCATCTCCCTGCAGAGAGCCATGACTGTCACTCACCGCTCCCCGCAGGGATTCCCCCCCCTCCGATCCTCCACTGCTGACTGGCGGAATGGACGGGGCGGGCACAGCTGGCTCTGCCTCTAGATAGGCAGAACCAGCAGTCAATCACGCGGCTGGGTAGATCTCGACAATAATGTCGGGATCCGTCCCGGCTGCGGCGGTCTCAGTATATAGGGAGCTGTAGCTCATGATATACTGAGCTTTGTGTCAGGGGAGGATGCTAGTTTGTGTCCTCCCGTGACCCTAAGGAGAACTATGGGGAAAAACACTTACCACATAGTTCTCCTTTAATGCTGAACCTCCAAGAAAATAAAAAAGACACAAAATGAATGCAGCTCTGTTTTCATCGTGAATCATTTTTCTTTTTATGCAACGGGTGTGACTTGGTATTAGGCTTTTGCAATGCCCTATACAGTGGAGACTGGGGAAGGGGAAAGGGGAAAGGGGGGGGAGGGGGGTAGTGGAGCAGGAATGCGAACTAGGTGTGCTACATGTAAATATGTTGACAAAAACGTGCAGATAATGGGAGAGATCAGAAGGATTCCCTTAGGAGTATGCTGCTGCTCCTTCAATGCCCAATCAGGAGCTAGGGTGTGTGGAGAGGGGACACCCTTCTATTACTTAATATTACGTGGTGTTAGCCACTTGGCAAATCTTACAGCAGGTAAAACGGCTCCCATAAATGCATTATATCTGAAAATTTACGTCAAACTTAAAAAAAAAAACCTGTTGTGCCCATTACAAGCCAATCAAGTTCCTCCTTAAATTTTGCAGTCTGGAAGAATGATACGAAGAACCTTGCTTTTAATAAATGCCATTAAACACATAGAAAACCTCACCAGCTCCCTTAAAGAAACTGACAAAAAGTTCCACACCCTCTGCTTTTAGTGGCTAGACCGGGGGTTAGGCAACCGTGACACTCCAGCTGTTGTGGAATTACAAGTCCCATGAGGCACGGCAAGACTTCCGACAGCCACAGACATGACCCCCAGAGGCATGATGGGAGTTGTCGTTTCACCGCAGTTGGAGTGCCGAGGTTGGCTACACCTGGGCTAGATTATACCACTACAGAGGAATACGGGCTACAATGACACTTGTAAAGAGACCGAATAACTCCGTGTACAGACCCTCTGGACTGTCAGCGGAAACCCCTTCTGGCACCTCCTCTCCCTTGTACCCTCCTTACCACCCCAAGCCTTCCCACCAAATTACTACCCTACCCATCCCGCACTCCCATTGTTCTATGCTCCCTCATTTCCCTTCCTGCTTGTGCCCTCCTGCCCCCCATGTTGCTTCCCCTCCCCTGAAAACACCCCCTGGTACTACCAACGGCACCCGTTATTCCCACAATTAAGTGATCCCTCATGGTGTGGTTATCACATTGCTTTTTAACCCATTTTCTCCACCATTTCCCTTGTAAAGCTCCACAGAACAGCTTGTCACAACCCATGGGCCGATCAATAATTTGGAATTGGTGACCTATTGATATTTTATATATGTCTGATGTCATATTGATATATGGATATTTTTCCTTTACCACAAGCTTTATGTTATCTTATGTTCTCACTCGGCCCCTGCCCTCTAATTCTGGCCACTGCCGATACAGGATGTATTCCCATCCAACAAGGGAATTCCTTTGTATTCCCTTCCCTTTGTGTCCTTGGTCATTGGATGACAAGGTACAGAGAGGCCACATTGCTATATTTTCCCTGTGAGAAATACCCATCCAAAGTCCTGGGTGGCATTTTTGAGCTTCGAGTGGCCAGACAACCTCCATTGCATTCTGCATGTAATTACCTCAGATGGTTTCTTCTGCACTGGTGACGGCACTGGGCTGTTCTCGCGGCTCTCGCCTTCGCTCTCACTCTCGCTCCCCTCAGTGTGGGCGCTGGCATTGCTCGGGTGGCGAACCTTCTTCTCGTCCCGTGGATGGTTTTGGTGCTTGAAATGTAGCACGGCTTCAAAGTTCATGACTGCCCAGGCGTGCCAGGCCTGCGGGGAAGAAGATGGCGTCAACAACCTTGGCCTAAAATTCCACCATAGATGTGCCAGAGAAGCTCCATCTCACCTTATACCAGGTGGTGTCATGGTCTGTCGCGGCATTGTAATACTCCAGCACATTGGGGATTGTGCACTCATTAATGCCCTGCAAGTTCAGCTGCCATTCACCCAGTTTCAGGTAACATCTAGGAAATGGTGCATAAAGTCAAGACTGAGTAGAGGACAGAAAAACACACTCTGGCCAAAAAGGCAAACCACCTATTCAGGTAATGTTTTCTTATAGGAGAATGAGGCGAGTGATTTTCACTCAGCCTCAAAATCTGAGCCGACCTGTGACAATTAAACTGTCACACGTCGGCTTAGTAGATCGGGAAGTGAGTGAACACATAGCGTCGCTCGCTCACTTCTCGACTGTCACGGCTCCCTGCAGGGATTCCACCCCTCCCCTGTCCGATCCTCCAGCGCTGACAGGCGGAACGGACGGGGGAGGGCAAAGCTGGCACAGCCTCTGGATAGGCAGAGCCAGCTGTCAATCCCTCAGCTGGGTGGATCCAGACAGTATTGTCGGGATCCGTCCCGGCTGCGGCAGAAGAGTCAGGGCTTTTCCCCATAGTTCTCCTAAGGGTCACGGGAGAACACAAAGTAGCATCCTCCCGTCACCCAAACCTCAGTATACCGCAAGCTACAGCTCGGGGTATCCGAGCTGTAGCTTGCGGTATACTGAGCTTTGGGTGACGGGAGGACGCTACTTTGTGTTCTCCCGTGACCCTTAGGAGAACTATGGGGAAAAGCCCTGACCCTATAGTTCTCCTTTAAGCAGACATCTCCTATCAGTGACCACACAACTATAAATAGGATACCCTCATTATTAAAGGTCAACTCCACCCAAACGTACTACTTAAACCCCAACTCCAGGCTATTATTTTTTTTTAAGAAGAACCTGGTGCAGTTTTGATATGATATCCCTAAGAGGTGTTGGGACTTCAATACTTATTCGTTCAAAAATAGTAAGGAGGACATAATGATTCGATTATCTCACTGGCTCCAGTAAGGCTGCTCATGATGAAACATGGCTGCCTTCCAGTGTGTACCCAGAACCGCGATTCAAAAATGAAATGGAACAACAGGAGGGCAAGACTTACTCATGAAAGTGTCCACATTGCTTTAAGACTTAAAAGTATGATCACATAAAATAACCAATACATTTTATGGTCC